CCCAAATTACCTTTTTATTTTTCTCTTCCATGCATTCGTTTCCTTGTATTTTTTTTATTTAAAAATATGAGGGACAAATAAGTATTTTATGCCTTCATTGTGGATTTTTTAGGATGGAAACTGTCTTTAGGAACTGATCTATCGTTAGCCGTAACATCGACATCAACATCAATATTCAATTTCAAGCAGTTTACCCAATGGTGATGTCCATTTCTTGTTCAACATGTTATCAATCTGGAATTGAACACCACGCCCGTTTGTATTCAGCAGGAAAGTCTGGCGGTCCGATAAATACATCTTGGCTCTTTGTGCAACAAAGAGTCGCAAAATTCCACTTCCGGTTGGAATTGATTCCTTCTAGCGCTTTGGAGATTTCTTAGATCAAGCACGTTGGGGAATAGAAACAATCCAGCATGAATGGAGCTTATAACCGGTTGTTGAGTGCTATACCGACAGTATCTCACGAAGCTTATATTCAGTTCAAAGACTTCAATTCTTCAATTATTGAAGGTTCGCCCTTAGCTCAAGCTCGAAATTTTCTTGTTATTGAAGACGAGCCCATGAGCCATCAACACGCTAGGACAGCTCATGATTTTCTTATTATTGAATGCAAGCTTTAGCCTTCGCACTTCATGGATGGCTCATGGTTTTTTATCATTGAAGGTAAGCCAGCTAGTCTTCTCACATCGGGACTGGATTATAATCCTTCTATTACCGTAGGCGAGCCTCAACCTCTTAATTCTTTTATTACTCCATCTGTCCCAATTATATATGCGGAATTTCCCTTTTCTCTTTTCCTAAATATATAGGCATGTTTCCTAATGTAGTATATTTTGTTTGAGTAATGTTATTCATCCCCAGTGGGGATGAAAACACAGTGTAGGTGGCTGTAAATGATAGGTGAAATGAAAGGTGAAATTAAATAACTTATTTAATTTCACCTATCATTTAATGCCACATTAGCGCCACCTAGACTGTATTTTCATCCCCAATAGGGATGAATAGCATTACTCATTTTGTTTTGTTTCTTTACCAATATACCCTTATTAAATTTCCCCACCTAATATGCCAATTTCTTGAAATCATTCAAATACACACATTTCTCACTTCTTGGAAACATGGAACAACTCTAATTTCTTCTTCTTCTTCAAATTCTTTATTAATTCCCACAATAATTTAATTATACATACTGAAAATTAAATAGG